CACACACACATATATATATATATATATATATATATATATATATATATATAGTTATTTGAAATAGAAATTGAATAGTTGTCTGAAATTTACTAGCAATTGCTAATTGAAAATTGTCAGTTAATGTGTTTTGAACTTTATATTGCTCATTGTGTTTATGTATTTCTTCAGGAGTTTTGGCACTATGGGCTCTGGTCACACACATAATGTACCTTCAGGACTACTGGAGAACATGGTTAAAGGGACTGAAGTTTTTCCTGGTTATGGGTGTAATTTTCTCTGTGTTGTCCATCGTGGCGTTCATCTCTTTCATCTGTGTCGCCGTCTCCCGCAAAGAATGTGAGTAGAGATCCGTTCTGAAGCTCATGAAACTCATGAATGCTTGAAATTAAATTGTATTTATAACATTTAGGTCATTAAACTCAGTTGTTTGAACTTCAAAAACTGTTTTGCTTTCTCCTCGTGTGTGTGTGTGTGTGTGTCTACAGCCCTCACAGATCCCACCAGTCTGTACCTGTCGTGTGTGTGGAGCTTCATGAGTTTAAAGTGGGCGTTCCTGCTTTCCCTCTATTCTCATCGATATCGCAAAGAATTTGCCCACATCTCCATCCTCAGTGACTTTTAAATTTACACACAATAACACACTCGTGCCCACAGACAAACAAGCAGCTGTTACCATTTGAAATGGACCAGGAACACTCAATGAGGAGAGCCAGAAAGCTTTAGTCTTTTCAGTATATCAGTAGAAGACGTTAGTGCACCACTTCTCTCTCCTTTCTACTACTTGTCTGTCCAGGCAGTCTATTGTGGATCATGTTAGATTGAAGAGTTTGTTGAAGGATGTCGTCAGTGATTTTAAATTTTGGACTTTTTAATGTCTATGATCAAAATCAACATTTCTGAGCCTTTTCACTTTTCAGTATGTATGGTTTATACTGTGCATTTCTGAATGAGGTATTAAGAGGAGTCTTTTGTGTTTCTCCTTACTGCTGTTCTCTTGAATGTTTTTCTGCAGTCTCACAATGATATATGGACAAGTGACAGGTTTTTGTTAAGCTGGTGTATGTAACTAAAAGACCGTTTTTTCCTGCTATTGCATAGCATTTAGGTAACTATCTATTGATTTTTAAATAAGCACTTTATTGTCTATAAAATGTGGTATAACCAATCACAAACCCTGTTCCTGTGGGAATCTTGAGGCTTTACTGGCGAGGGATATGTTATGTGGAAATTCTCTTTTTGTTTATACTTTCATGACCCCAAAGCATTAGAAAACAACATCCAGCACACATTTGAAGATTTAAATGATTTTTGTAGCAATTTTTTTCCTCACAAGACAAACATGGTTAGAGATTTTAAGTTTTATCATCACATGTCTGTCACCTGTTATATGGCTGAGTGTTGGTTAGTATAAATTCATTCAGATAATACAGCATGCATTTGTCTTGTTATATTAAGTTGAACTTTTTTATATTTACACAAAAACATTATTATACTGTTAGAATGTGATTTTTGCTTTTGCCTGACATTTGAGGCACTTTTGCGAGCATAGCCATTATTAGCCTTTGTATTGTTATGAAATCAATAACTTTATGTATTTGTAAGTTACCCATTAATAAAATAACCTGACACGACACGCTTCTTGATTTCAAAACTATTAAAAAGTAAAAATACAGGTTTATTTAATTTTGAGAACAGCAAAACATTTTGAAGACAATTAAATGAAATTAAAAGGCTATAAAAAACATCAATGTAAAAAGTGGAATATATGCAAATGCTGATATCATGGTATTTCACAAAATATCTTTAAATGTATTTATAGACCAACTTGGTAATAAAAAGAAAAGAAAATATTCTCAACCTAAGTGACATAGCAAAGCACAAAGTACTTGTACCCTTTTCTTTATGCTTGCTATATAAATAATTGACATACAAGGACAGCTGCCTTACATATTAATTGCAGGAAATCTATCAATATTAACAATGACAAAAACTTAGCTTGAACAATGCAAAATGTCATTTTTTCTCAATTCAATGATTGATGAATATAAAGTGCAATTAAAGGGGTCATATGTCGTTGCTAAAAAGAACATTATTTTGTGTATTTGGTGTAATTCAATGTGTTTATGTGGTTAGAAAAGATTATTTTCCACATACTGCACATTATTGTTTCTCCTCTATGCCCCGCCTTTCTGAAACGCGTCGATTTTTACAAAGCTCATCGTTCTGAAAAGCGAGGTGTGCTCTGATTGGCCAGCTATCCAGTGCGTTGTGATTGGCCGAATACCTCAAGCGTGTGACAGAAATGTTATGCC